CTGCTAGGGTATCATGCAGGAAGCAGAAGTACTGTAAGTCCCCATGATCCCCAGCGAGGTGGCCTAGCTTTGGTTACTGGTGGCCTATAGCCCGTGTTTTAAACTGTCTTAATGATATTGTTATGCTCAAATATGTTTCATCAATTGTTTTTTAAATATAGTATGCTCCAATATGTTTCATAAATTGTTTTTAAATATGACATTGCATAAATAACTAAATTGTATATATATTTACTTGGTATCGTCGCTATATGGCTGAAATAATGCCGATGCGACGTTAAATTTTAACTCACTCACTCACTCTTTCGGACATTTACTTGGTCCTTTGTCAACATGTTTTGCCATTTTGTGCTTGCCTTTTCCTCATTTGCTTAGTGATCTAGCCCTTTTGGTAACCTGATCAGGAGTTATGAAACATTGACTGTCACTTTGACTCTGCAACATGTGGACTCCTAACAGATCATCTTTGTCCTCATCAGACATGTTTGCAATGACTTGATCTATTTCAGAATTTTGTGACATTGTAGTCACTTTCTCGTTCTCCTTTTCATCCTCATTCATAACATCGACCTCCAGCTCGCCTCTCTCCCCTTCCTTACTTCTACCACTCTGCTCGACATCCATCACATTCCCCACACTATCCTCAACATTCACATCACCCTCTCCAACATTCTCCTCTCTCTCGTCATCAACATTGATTGGTATAATAGATTGTTCATGGTCACCATTCTCCACAGAAGCCTTTAACAGTTCTCTTTCTTTTCTGTTAATCCTCTTCTGGATAAGGGTAGGGCAACTGGACCTCATGTGCCCCTTGTGTCCACACCCTAATCACATGGGGGCCCGTGAAGGGGATGTAATTAACATGGCCATGCCATCTCCCCACCGTGCTATATGGGGGTAGTAAATCTGCTTTCTGTTCTGGTATCATTGTTATATTTCTAACCCAGCTAAACACATAATCGTCCCCTAGCTGAACTTTCACCCTTTCCACATTTAGGACACGCCAATATCTGCTGAAATGTTTTGCCACGACACTGTCTCTCACGTCGTCATGGAGCCAATGAATTCTTAACAATGTTACCTTTTTTGTGTAATGGTGGCTGAATTGAATAAAACCATCTTTAAAAGGAACTGATCCTGCATCTAACAAAGCTTTGACTCTCCTTTGATCATGAAACGTGATGAACCATGTTGCGTTCTGTTCAGTATTCCAGATTGAAAAAATGTTTTTAACGGAAATGCCAGCAATAGCTTTCTGAATGGCATGAAATAAGGCCTCTCATGAGAACCCTCTCACCTTTGATTGCGCTCTGATGGTATGTGGGGCGATGCCTGGGTCCCTGTCGCACTGGTCAACTGGAGGCCACTGCTCCGCAAGAGCTAGTGACATGGATATAACTGTGTTTAGGATGACAATACTAACAAAGGGCGAATACAGAGGAAGAAACATATATATGATAAGTATTATTTCTGAACAGGGCATTTGGGTCATATAAAAAGGACTTAATGTTTTAAAATGGACAAAGATTTATTAGTATTTTAGTTATTTATATATTCTGATTCATTACAACATACATACTTAAATACTGTATGGAATATTGAAACGTTGTCTTCACATACATAACAAATAATATGTTTGAACAGGGCATGGGGGTCATATAAACAGGACTTAATGTTCTAAGATGGACAAATATTCATTAGTATTTTAATTATTCACCTGATACATAAATAACATACATACTTACATATTATATAAAATATTGGGAGGTTTGGGTCATAGAAACTTTGCAAGAACGTGCATAATGGTATTATAGGCGCAACATGGAAAAATTATAAATATATGCTTTGCCATGATGCTTAGAATATATGTTTGTTTACTCAATCAATACAAGCAAAACATAAACAAGGGAAAGCTGGATATACAACAAGGAAATATACAGAATTACATCATAATTCGGAAATGACATTGTTGTTAAAACATAAACTTTAAATGGTTATTGGCATCGATATAACAGAAGATTGGACATGAAAGCAAGTATTTGGAAAAGGAAGATTTTGAAAGTCTATAGAAATCAATCCGAATACGTGTTTTAAGGAGATACAAAAAATCGCAATACAATATCGTTTCCATTTAACTGTTTGTGCTCAAATTTGTTTCAATTCCTAATGATCCAAATAGAATACTTTGCCAAAGACAATAAATACACACAAACAGAATAGTTTTGACGATTTGGAAGATTTGGGATAAGACCAAATTTAATAGTTGTTAGGGGCGTATACGTTGATAAAACGTATTTTTTTCCAATGTATTGTTCTATCTAATAAAATATATCTCCTATTAACATCTAACCGAAATTGGTTAGCAACAAAATTAACATGATTATTAATAATTATTCCTACTCCTCTACTTCTATTGTTTCCAAAGGACCAAAATCCTTTTCCTTTAAATTTTGATTCATAAAATGTTGCTAATTTTAGGTCATATACATGGGTCTCTTGGAGAAAAAGGACATCAATGCTTGAATTAAATTTTTGAGATAAAAGGTTAATTTTTGATGGATCATCCAGCAATCCATTGCAGTTTATTGTGGTTATATTATACATAAAGTGAGAGATTATTCATAAGATGTAATAAGAAAATACCTCCTCTATTAAAACTGGCAAGTTATATAAGATCATGTATGGAAATGTTCCACTGACATGTTTTCTTCATTGTATCTTATTCCTGTGTCCAATTACATCTCTGTATCACTGCCGTGATTTACGAGAATAAAGATCATTCATTCCTCATCATTCATTGAGGATGGGTGTGATCGTTTGTATTGCCATTATTCTGTCTCATAGTCGAGGGGCGTTGCTTAAGTCGTTATTTGATTCTATTGGACAAGTTAGTCTATACTCCCCCCACCTGCGTCAGACACCACATCTGAATAAGATTTTTCTTTTTCTTTTGCAGAGCTCCGGGTTTGCATACTGGGTGTGTGTGGACTCTGGCTCTCCCCCCTCCCGACTCTTCCCCCCTCCTGACTTTCCCACTGTCTTTCCTGCTACTTTGCGATCTATGTTTTCTCTTAACAGTTTCTGAAGGTGTGGCAAAGGAGGATATATTGGTATCGGTACTAGTGTCCATTAATTGTTGTATCTCAAGGACATTTTGACACTCAGCCTTGACAGTACAGGCGAAGCTGGACTCGTCCCCGTACATCCTTTCATCACCGGTGCCGCTGCCAGAGCCATGACTGGAGGAGGAAGTGGGGGGGTGACCACTTAAGGTCTAACTACCACAGTTGAAACTGTAGAATGTAGAAAAAACAGTTAGCACAAATAGTCACCTGCTCCTTGAATGCACACCTTGAATCCTCCTGGAAAACACAATAGTCCTCAGTAATCCTGTACTCTGTCTAAGATACTTTTTTTTCTTTTTTTTAATCAGAGAAATGAAAATACAGATGCAGACAGTGCAACGAGCATACCACTCCACTATAAAAACAAAATATCACAAAAGGGCGTGGAGTTGCAGCTATAACATAGGTAAACTGAAGAAGAAATAAACTGCAGTACAGCTATTTAAGTGTAAATCCAGAAATGAAGATAGAAAAGGAAAAAAAACAAAAACACAGTCACTCAAAGACTAGGCACGTGGTATCACAAACACACCAATCTCATTTCAATCAGTTTCATCTCCTAAATCATTGTTAAAGATCGAATCTCAATTTCATTAAGCTCCATGGTATAATCCTTGTTCCTTTGAATATTGTGAAATAAATGTCTGTGCTTATGAATCTTCTGTTGTAACACAAGCCGAATGTTTTCTCTGAATTTCTTTGGCTCCGCTGATGAAAAGGATGAAACACAGTTTGTAAGGTCATATTTCTTCTCAGTGACCTTGTAATAATCCCGCTTCTCATCCCACAATATGTTGACATTCAATGTCCAAATTTTCTTCATTTGAAGGAGATCCTTTCTGTAAGTCGCGGCCCATTTCTTATCGACAATGCTAGGTAACCAAGTTAGATCAAACTGATTTCTTGTAGCCTCCCCAGGCATGTCCTTAGTTGTCCTAGCAAATTTCTTCTGGGGAGGCTCCTTCTGAATCTGTTGGTCCACTGAAACAGTGGAACCTTCGTTTGTGTCTGAACTAGCAGGAAGATCATAAGCACTGCCACCAGCCTCTGGCATGGCAGCTAACACAGCGTCAGACTGGGACATCTTGTCTGCCCAGTTTCCAGGGGAAGGACTTTTCCTCTTAAGAACACACTTGTCCACTTGTCCTGAGTCTGTCTTACTGCGTTCAGCCTCGTCCTGCACATCATCCTCTGAAGCACTCATGTCTGAATCGGCACTCGTGAAGAGCAACCTCCCCGTGGTGAGTGCTGGGTAACGCTAATAGCTCTTCCCCCGTGTGGACTCGGGGTAGAATTTGTCCACAGCACCCCATTGCTGGTCGTAAAAGGCGACCAAATTGGGCAACCCGTTTGCCGTGGGTTGCGCCCCTGTGTCGGCGGAGGACGGGATTCTGGTGGTTGAGGGCATTGGAGCCAGGAACAAGTGTTCCTTTTGCCCAACACACCACTTCGACCCTTACTTCGCCTAGACGGGTGGTAGAATTGGCCCGATTCTATCAATCGGCTGGTCACGTCATGCCCTAGCATGAAATACATGGCTATATTATTAAGAATATAATTGCACGCTAAACTTTGTTGTCAAAATCATTGTTTTGTTCCCTTTTTGCCTAGAGTCGTATGCCAGAAGGCGGTGGCTCATGGGCCAATCTGGAGATAGAGACCTCTGAATTCTGTGTTTCTTGGGGAAAGTGTTATGGGCCGAACCAGCCTGACGCTTATTCTTTTTGATCTCATAGCTTTTCAAGTCTATATTTTCTGGAGTATAGCACCTCTGTATCCCTGGTGTTGCAGGTTGGCTTCCACTGTGACATCGTCCTTGTTGACACTCGATGGCGGGTGGGGAGCAGGGGTGCTGAATCACTACATAACACCATGGCTCACCACAATCTATCTGGTTCTTTCAAAACAAATAAACGTCGTCATGTCGATTCTATAACGTCTGACGAAGAAGAAACATCAACTGAGATTGCAGATTCTTGGCCGAGATTCATTGTCATCGCATCTGCTGATGGCAATCCTTTAAAACTAAATCCTTTCGCTATCTCGAAAGGCATTCAAAGTGCCTGTGGAGAAGTTACCAATGTTACACGTCTTCGTTCTGGTTCCATCCTTGTGGAATGTGCACGGAGACAACAATCTGTCAATCTGCTGGGTCTACAGCAGTTTGTTAACACCCAGGTTGTTGTTTCGGTGCACAGGACACTAAATTCAAGTAGAGGCATTGTCAGGGACCGCGCACGCTGTCTTTCTGACATGGCAGAAGAAGAGATTGCTGCTGAATTGAAACATCAAGGGGTCACTGCTGTTAAGCGGTTCAGTAGAAAATCAGAAGATGGAAAATTTATCCCAACTAACACGTATCTTTTTACTTTTTGTCTTGCTAAAATACCAAATTCTATTAAAGCCGGTTACTTTAACATCGGAGTGGAGGTTTATGTTCCAAATCCTCTCCGGTGTTACAAGTGTCAACAGTTTGGACACGGGGCAAAAACTTGCACTCGCAAGGCCAGATGCTTCCGTTGCAGTGGAATTCACGAAGGTTCCGAGTGCACAGATGATGTCAAGTGTGCCAACTGCGATGGGGAGCATGTGGCCTCATCCAAATCATGTCCAGTGTTCGTATCAGAATCACAGATCTTAAAACTGAAGCACACACAAAATATTTCTTATTCTGCTGCCAAACAATTGGTACAACTTCCATCAAAATCACCCGCAAATATCACTTATTCAGCTGCAATCTCTTCTCTCCGCCGCCAGTTCTCAAAATTACTACAGCCTCTACATCCTGCCAGACTTTGATCTCTTGGGTAAAAGATGACCAGTTTACCATCGACGATGCACAGACATCTCAATCTATGAAGTCTACTTCAGCTTCCCAGACAGACCATTTAACATCAGCACCTCAGCTTCTGCAAACTCAGAAAACGGTACCTCCATCAGAACCCAGCCATGTGAAAGTCACCAAAAACATTCAGGGCGAAGCCCATCTGACTAAAACAGAAAAAAAGAAGTTAAAAAAGATAAGGGCTCTCCAGCACTTGGATTTGCCTTCTCTTGCTGACACCACAGTAGAGGTTCATAATCCATTTGAGCCTCTAGCGATGGAGGTCAGTCCCTCACTCCCGGTTCGTGGGAGTGGACCTCCCTCTCACTCAAGAACTCCAGTTGAGCCTCCATGAATGGCTCCAATACTCTTATTCAGTGGAATTGCAGGGGACTAAAGAATAATTTTAATGATTTACAGTTATTGATACAGGATTTTAAACCATCAGCATTTTGTTTACAAGAAACGTATTTTAAAGATAATGATCAAATCAACTTGAGGCAATATGATGCATATAACTTCTTTTCTCCTCCAGGACCTAGGGCTACTGGAGGATCGTCAGTGTTGGTGAGGCAGGGTGTCATACATAGCCCTGTTCCACTTAATACTCCACTTCAAGCTGTTGCAGTCCGTTTAAGCCTCAACATTGTTTTCACATTGTGTTCGCTTTATGTACCTCCATCTTCTACTCTTCACCAAACTGATCTTCAGGCACTCTATGACCAGCTCCCCAAGCCCTGTATCATTATGGGCGATTTGAATGGGCATAATCCACTTTGGGGTAGTGCTGACACGAACAGTAAAGGTAAGCTATTAGAAGATTTCATTTCGAACAACGATTTATGCATCTTTAATGATAACTCTAAAACTTATTTACATCCTGGAACAGGCACTTATTCTTCTCTTGATATATCACTTACCAACTCCGATCTGTTGAATGAATTCGAATGGTCAGTCCACGACGACCTTTGTGGAAGTGACCATTTCCCGACTATTCTTCAAACAATAATTCCAACTGATGTTCCTCCATCATCACGATGGAACTTCACAAAGGCTAACTGGCCTTTGTTCAAATTACTTTGTACGAGCAAATTACATACTGGTCTTTTTGTTGATGTTCCTGATTCTATTACGGTGTTCACTGATGAACTGTACAAAATAGCTGATGATTGTATTCCAAAGTCCTCTGTAAATCCACACATCCGTAAACCATGGTTTAACAATGACTGCAGGCAAGCTAGGAAGGCACGGAAAAAGGCTGAGCGTTATTTCCGTCGCCATCCGATGGTCCATAATTTGAATCATTTTAAAATTTCAAATGCTAAAGCCAGGCGTACTTTTAAACATAATAAACGCCAATCTTGGCGTGATTATGTTTCAAAAATAAATTCACGAACGCCCATGTCTAAGGTATGGAATATGATACAGAAAATTAAAGGTAAGGGTTCGAAATCTAGCGTCCACCATCTTAAGACTGGGGATGACCTATTAACTAACAAATCGGATATTGCAAATAAACTTGGTGAAACGTTAGCAAAACATTCTTCCTCCTCGAACTATGTACCTAAATTCCAAATATACCAAAAACAGCAGGAAAAGAAAACTATTAATTTTAAATCAGATAATGGGGAAGATTATAATGAAGTATTTTCAATCCATGAGCTTCATACTGCTCTTGATCAGGCTCACGATACTGCTACAGGAGCTGATGGTATACACTATCAACTCCTGAAGCATTTACCAGAACCGTGTCTAGAAACCCTTCTGTTAATTTTTGATGATATCTGGACTTCAGGTGAGTTTCCTTCTTCCTGGCGTGATGCCATAGTTGTACCCATACCAAAACCTGGACGGGATCACACTGATCCATCAAATTATAGACCCATTTCACTGACCAGCTGCGTTTGCAAAACCATGGAACGTATGGTCAACAATAGATTAACATGGTACTTGGAATCTAATAATTTACTTACAAATATTCAGTGTGGTTTTAGAAAGAATCGAAGTACTGTTGACCATTTAGTTCGGTTAGAGTCATTTGTAAAAAATGCAATAATTAATAACCAGCATGCAGTGTCTATCTTTTTCGACTTGGAAAAGGCGTATGACACTACCTGGAAACACGGGATTTTAAAAGATTTACATGATTTTGGATTGAGAGGCCGTTTGCCTCAATTCATATCCGGATTTTTAACTGACAGACAATTTCAAGTCCGCGTGGGCTCAACCCTGTCTGATCATTATCATCAGGATCAGGGTGTCCCACAGGGCAGTATTTTGTCTGTTACACTATTTAGTATTAAGATAAATAGTCTCTCTAAGGTTTTAAATGACTCCATTGATGGATCTTTATTCGTGGATGATTTTAACATATCATGTCGTGGTAAAAACATGCATACTATCGAAAGACAATTACAATTATGTCTAAATAAGATAAATAAATGGTGCTTAGAAAATGGTTTTAAATTTTCGAAATCCAAAACAAATTGTATCCACTTTTGTAGGAAATACAAACCCCATAAAGACCCTGATTTAATTTTAGATAGCACTCCGATTAAAGTAGTAAAAGAGGCTAAGTTCTTGGGTCTTATTTTTGACCACCATTTAACGTTTTTACCTCACATAAAATATTTGAAAAATAAATGCCTGAAGGCCCTCGATCTCCTAAAAGTTGTTTCAAATTCCAAGTGGGGAGGGGATCAGAAAACCCTCCTTCAACTGTACAGAGCACTTATTCGCTCTAAACTTGATTATGGCTCCATCATCTATGGTGGAGCCTGCAAAAGTAATCTTAAACTTTTGGACTCTATCCACCATCAAGGTCTGAGACTCTGTCTTGGCTCTTTCCGAACTTCTCCTATTGACAGTCTGTACGTTGAGGCTGATGAACCATCCCTCAAACAACGCCGAATTAAATTATCCTTACAATATGTCACTAAATTACGCTCTAATAACTCGAATCCAGCTTATGACTGTGTTTTTCACCCCCTTTATGAAAATCTCTATAATAAAAAATCATCGGTTCTCCCCCCACTTGGCATAAGACTTCAATCTGATATTTCTGCCGCTAAAATTAATCTTGATGCTATAGCCCCCATGCAGCTTTTGTCTTCTCCACCTTGGCAGTTGGTAAAGCCAGAGGTGGATCTGACATTAACTAAATTAAAGAAATCGGAAACAAATCAACTTATTTATCAACAAAAATATAATGAATTAAGAAACACATATAATACTTACAAATCTATATTTACTGACGGATCCAAGGATAGTGGCGCTGTTGCTAGCGCCACTGTCATTGGATCCAGGACTATCTCCTCCAGATTACCCGATAATAGTTCTATTTTCACAGCTGAGGCCAATGCCATTTTAACAGCTTTACAATATATCAGTAAACAGTCAAAATATCAGAAGTTTATCCTATTTTCCGATTCTCTTTCTTGCCTGCAGGCTATCCATAACATCTCATGTCAACATCCACTTTTAATCAAAATTATTCAATTATTTAATGAACTTGCTACTGGCCAATACGACATCGTCTTTTGTTGGTTGCCCAGTCATGTGGGCATCAAAGGCAACTCAATGGCTGATGCTGCTGCTAAAGCAGCACTCAACAAATCTGTGACACCACTTCTGATCCCATACACTGATTTTAAACCTGTAATCAGATCTTATATTTGTGATCTTATGCAAAAGAAGTGGGACTCCCAAGTCGGTATCAATAAATGACATGTAATTAAACCAAATATTGGTTACACCTACTTGGGCTGTCAGTCCAGATTTGAAGAGGTCATTATGCGACGATGTCGTATTGGCCATAGCAGGTATACACACGAATATATTTTAAAAAGCGAGGATCCTCCATTTTGTATCCCTTGTGATGAGAGAATCACGGTCAAGCATGTTCTGCTTGACTGTATTGATTTTTCCATCACAAGGGATAAATATTTCAGTGCAACTTCAATATTGGATCTTTTTAATAATGTTTCGTCTCATTTAATAATTAACTTTTTAAAAGAAATTGAACTGATAAATAAATTTTGATGTACATAATTGTTTCTTAATTTGATAGTGTCTAATTGTGAACTGAGATTGTTAATGGCTGTGCCCTTGACGGGGGTTAAAGTACTGTAAAATTATTGTCCCCCTGAGAGGGCATAGTAAGTCCATATCATTCGACGTCTGTTATTCCTATCATAGTTTTAATCGTAGAATATATGTTCTTTTAAATACAGCTACATTCCCTAATCGTCGCCAACAACTGAAGGGATGATGTAAATCCTGCTGGGGTCCATGCAGGTAGCAAAGGTACTGTAAGTCCCCATGGTCCCCAGTATGGTGATCTACCTTCAGTTGCTGGCGATCTATAGCCCATTTTATAATGTATTGTCCTGTCTAGTGATGTATTTTTATGGTTCCCTGCTAGTTTTACATACTAATCTGTGATAAGTCTAGTTATTTTACTGTCCCTTGTCGACAGGTTTTTATGGTTTACATGTATTTATTATATATAACTTTTGAAAGTCACGATATGGCTGAAATATTGCCGATGTGACTTAAAATCTTAACTCACTCACTCACTCATGTCTGAATCATCTGATAATCCTTCAGAAACATCATCCACATCGTCATCGTCATCTTCTTGTAAAATCGAATGTTCCATTGTCTCCTCAGGTACATCCTGTGAAGTGACATTCTCAGGACCTTCCCCAGGAACAGGTACAGCACAATCTGTGGATGCTGAGACCTTAGCCGGAGAACTACTGGCCGGGCACTCAGCCATCACATGGCCGAACTCATGGCAACGGAGACATATCGGGAGACGACCTGGGGCAGTGATAAGCATTGACTGTCTGTCTCCAAAGCGCACAATGTGGGGCACTTTGTCTTTGTCCGTTTCAGAAAGTTCTATCTTCACAATCCTTATTCCAGTAGAAACTTGACAGCCATCGATTTGGATGAACTCCCTAAACACATC